CGACGCCCGTTTGAGGTGAATTCGTCGAAGAGAACATCTCCCTTCCGGGTGGTACATTATTCTAGTGATCATAAATCAAACGGCTCCAACCGGTTGTTTGAATGATCCTTTGCAACCAAGATATGACCGGTCTTCACTGCAAAACAGTACAACCGGTCATCTCCACAAAGCGGTACCCCCCGGGCTTTATTCCAAATAATACAGCCGGTACCCAGTAAGAAAATACAGCCGCACGTACTACCAAACAGTACAGACGGCCTACGAAATCTTGGTCATGCCATAAACAGCTTTTATACAAACGCACCTTAAACGGTTATTCCACTAAACCTAGCAAGGTCCAAACCTTGGCATCGAACGAATTACTGACCTACAGCCGGCCAAATAACCGACTGCATACAAACATGGCAAAACGGGGTGCTTTACGAGCACACTCCAGCCGGTTAGTAATACGATCAGTTCGCTTCAAACAATTAAGCTCCGCTTGTCTTTCTAACTGGGTGCGCGTATGGACGCCTGCCTGTTAACCTTTTGAAGTTAACAGCCAGCCATCCAGGGGCAAAATCAGCAACCCCACCCGGTATATATGGGAAGTCGGGCGTCATTATACTTGCAAAAATTCGCGAAGATCAAGGCAAAGCCGACACAGTCGGCAAAATATATTTTAACTAATACTCCAAAATTAAAATTGTTATATTGTTAACCAGATCCCTATCCGGTGAAATTACAAAGAAATACACGGCACGCAGGCCGTGAGGTAATTGCTACTCTATTTGAACTGTGACGCGGTCAGCCGGATTTTGGGTAGCGGGCGTCTGAGTTTGCTCCGGCTGAGTCTGAGTGGCAACAACTTCAGCATTTTCCTCGGTCTCCTCCTCCTCTTCAGCCGCCTCAGCCTGCATTCTCGATCTCCTTCCTTGCCCACTCCTCATAGGGCTCAGGTCCCGGTTGACCCTCCTCTTGCGCCAGAATGGCAAGATCTGCGTATCAATAGGCGAGCTCCCAGATAGTATAGTCCGCATCCAGATGAATAAGGGAGAACGCCTTCCTATTGCGGTTCTCGCAGTCTTGCTCATTCTCCTCAATGAGCCGACTCTATTCCGCCTGAAGGGTTGCCTCGAAATTTTTCTGAGAAGTGGCAGCCTCCTTCTTCAGACGGTCATTCTCCTTCTTCAGGCGTTCGCTGTCCTTCTCCGCCTTATCCAGGCACTGGAGGGATTCCTTGTTCTCATTCAGCTCATTCTCGACATTATCCAGCGACGCCTAAAGATTGTCCATCTTAACCTTGGACTCATTGAGGGCCTTTTGAAGGGTCTTAACCTGGTCCGCCTGTTGCATGATTATAGATTTAGTTTCCAAGTCATGCACAATCATTGAATACTGAGCTACATTATGGGCGTCATTGGCGTCCCATTTGGCTCTTCTTACCTCCTCTTGCTTGCGTACATAAGCCTTCTTCAGCCCCTCTACGCGCAACAAAAGACTGCAAAGACACAGTCGGTGTTAGAAAATACCGGATGAGTATGAGATCAGTGTAAAAAAGAGGCGGATGTAGAAGAATACCTCAGCCAGGCTGACCATCACACGATCAGCATTGAAGGCGTTGATCCCAGGGATCGCTTCCTTCTCGTCCCTAGGGACGGCTTTCAGCGTGGCCCGGGCGTATTGTGTCACGTCCAGCCAGCGAGGAGATTGATCTGCACCAAAAACAAACGGTGAGAAAGAACCAAACGCCCCTCCAATAGAGTGCCGGCCGGATGACGAGTCCTCCGGCTGGAGTTGGGAGTAAGACTTGACCCGCATGGGCAGGCCAAGTAGAGTGAGATTGAAGGGGTCATCCGTACCTTGGGTCTCCTAAGGGCCGCGTGGGCCTTTTCCGGCGGATGTACCGCCTATTGTATGCAAGGAGGGAGGGGCATCCATCCTCCTATGGGAAAGGTCGAGCCCCATCCCGGTGTTCTTCACTGATTTGCCGCCGACAGTCAGCCGGTCGGCATGTGAGGTCTTTTGAATTTTAGGAGCAGGCTCCTCCCCATCCGGCTTTGGCCGGTGTTGTTTGGAAAGAGAGCGAGGAACCTTGCTCCCATCCTGAAACGAGGAAAAAAGAGGTCAGACAGATAGATCTGAAACAGCTGGGAATAAAAGAGAACAAGCAATACGCAATAAGGTCAGGCAGACTTACTTTTTTAGCCGCCTGGGCAGCTTTCTTCTCCGCGTTCTCCTTGCGGATATCCGAGGCCTTCTTGGTAGGCGTCTTGTATGATGGCAACATACCTTTGGCCTCAGCTGCACAATGACAAGAGACGCTTGGTTAGAAAAGTTCCAAAAAAAACATCTGAGCAAAGAAAAATTATACATCCGGCACCAATTTGTCGGCTGAGGCTCTCAACCTACATTTATCTTTGAACATGGTGCTTAGCCCATAGGCGGACAAGAACGCCTCGTCCCTTAGGAACTCATGTTTAGGTACCCAATTCTTGGGTACGCTGATAACTTCTCCGGTTGAGATGTTGGAAGTGGTGAGCTCGAAAAATCTGGACTCTATGATCGCTTCATAGTCCCCATCCGGTATCGTGGGTATTTTGCATTTTTGCCCGAGCAGCTTAGGCTTCCAGTTGTATCTCCGGAGCTCATGATTTTCTTCATTGGCCGGGGCTATGACCAAGTAGAAGCGGTATTTCCAATCGGACCACTTAGACGGCTTGTCAAGCGTCATCATGTACTTGGGATATGTCGTTAATGTGTATCAGGCCCTCCAACCGCCTAGACTCCGGCTCAGATAGTGCATGTGAGTGAAAGCCTCCCAGCCGGGGTTTAGGTTCTGCATTTCGCAGGCGGCAATATACCCCAAAATATTTACCCAAGAATTGGGGGTAATTTGCCAAACGCCTAGGCCATAACCCCTAAGTATGGCCTTTATTGTGTTGTGAAGGGGGAAGTGGAGCCCCGCTAGAAAAGCCGCCTCATAGCAGCCAAAAAGCCGTCTGCATTGCGCTGGTTGTCCTCCTAGGCAATGGTCCCCATCTCAGGCGGGACGACTAATTTATACCCTTCTCCTAAGGGCCGCTTGAGTACGAAGTCGGCCAGGTTTCTCTGCATGCTAGCCCTGTCTTTTGCAGAGACGGAGATCATGAGAGGATCGCCTTTGGTGTTCCATAAAGGCCTCTCCTCCTCCTCGCTATCCACAGACGTCGTGAGATAGCTGCTTTTGCTGTCACCCTCATCAGAGCCGGACTCAGAGCCGGAACTTAAAGTGGGGTTCTCATTTCTTGTTGAGGGTTCTTGGTCCTAAGCTTCAGAAACAGAGGCGGCTTCCTCACCGCCTCTACTATAAGACCCTAGAATTCCATCGCTAGGGGTACTTGGGGTGCCTCTGGGAGATCCCCTTGTTATCTCATCCGAGATCCTCTCCTCAGGCGAAAACTCTTCTGAGCTTCCGCCTCTATAATTGGGATCCATAGCCATCTTCTTTGCTCTAGCCATTGTGTCCTGCACAGACACGGAGACGGTCGGATTGGGAGATGAATAAGAAAGATTCCAAAACCCAGAGGCGGCATCCCCAGCCCTAGACTCGGCCGTGCTGAGGGACCGGTTGGTCTCAAAACCATATTCCGGGTGTGGGTATAAAGGGTCTATCTACTTATGGAACTAATAAAGAAAAAGGCAAGAAAGAAGCACAAACGTAAATACATGGAAGAGCTAGAGAGAACAGAGGCGGTACCTAAGTTAATTAAGAAGAGGAGAAAACCGCTTGACAAGGCTGGAAAAACTTCAAATGGCTTGCAAAGGCTCAGGCGTCCTCGTAGCCGGATGTGTTCTTTGAAGTAGCAGCTACAAATTTGCGATGCTGGTCACAATACACGCAGACGGAAAATACCGGATGTGCACTCGGTAGAATTCAAGGGAAGTCTGCTCTTAATACCGCCTGCTCTCAAAATCTTTGAAAATTGTTCAAGGTTGTAAATGTGAACATGAGAGAGGAGTTTTGCTATTTATAGGCAATCCTCAGAAGGCGAAGCCTCGTGCCTTTTCACCTTCTGCCTTTTGAACTTCCAAAATTCGAATTCAAATTCGAAAAAAAAGTGTGTGTGTCTCAGGTGCCACGTGGCACTACCACGTCAGCATCTGAGAGGGGCAAATGTTTAGGGTAAAAATTACCCTAGATACGTGGCCCAATGGCCCTGTGACACGTGGCAGCTAGCCATAGGTCAACAGGGTGCCAATCCCCTGGTGACACGTGTCCTTTGAACCCTAGATGGGGTACTTGTCTCCCCACTATAAATAGTGGGTCAGACCTCATTTATTGGGCATTCATAAATATAAACACCGATCCCGAGCAATATTAATTACAGAATCCTCCTGTATTAGCGAGGAGTATATACTATTTTCGCACTTATTACCTCCTGTACATTACTAACTAGATAGTCGGAGGCGGAGCTCCCACCAACCGGAGTCTTCGTGGTTTTGCAGGTACAGGCGTTGGTGGCACATACTAGGTTTTGTAACTCTCCCGCAGGACACATCAAAAAACCCCGAAACAATAGTTGCTTTCCATTATATTTAAATGTGTTGTTAATGAACCAAAGTTGAGATATGATAAAGTAATAAAACTTTAGTTAAAGTACAGACCACAAGTTCAAAAACCGTAAGTTCACCTAAAAGAACTTAAATACAGACCATAAGTTCAAAAACAATAACTTGGCCTAGAAGATGATCTAGTTAAATACAGACCATAAGTTCAAAAACCAAAAGTTGCAAGCATTTGCACTGTCATTTACAAAAACAAACATGACATATTAGACTTTGTTCTTTCCTTTATTACACTTCCTTAACCTAGTAACAGGTTGGCTACTTGGACCTTGAATAGCTTGATATGAACTCTGAGTTGTGTTAATGGAGGGTTGTGGTTGTGAAAGAGACTGCAATGAGCTTCTTGTGAATCTTCTTGGTGGGTCTGGTGGGTTTGCTGTGGATGTACTCTTTAGTGCAGTGTGTTTAGAGGATTAAGAAGTTTTCTTTGCTGCATTTTTAGCTTTTGCCTTTGCATTTCTCTGTCCATCCCTAGCACTTTGCTCTGTTGTTGTAAATCCACCCTTACATGTTTGTTTGTTGTGTCCATAACACTTACATCTCTGACATTGGACTGTTGTGGACCTTTTTCCTTTGTCTGGTTCATCAGGTGCCCTTTTTCTTTGTCTAGATGGCCTACCAATGGCTCTTTTCATCACTGGTGGTAGTATTGTAGGCATATTAATCTTTGGCCAGTGCTCAATATCTGGAACATAATTTATTGCGTTGGCATATGCTTGCTTATAAGTTTGGACTGAGAACCATGTGCTGCAGAATTGGTATGGGTTCAATCCAGCAGCCAAGATTGCTTTGATTGCATGTTTGCAAGGCAATCCTGAAATTTTCCATGCCCCACAGAGACATGTCTTCCTGTGTAGTGACACAGGAAGCATAAACTTCCCATCCTTCACTTCATATTCACCCTCATTTGACTGATAAGCTTTGCAAGTTCTTGATTCAAAGGTCAATGATGAGTGACATTTATGTCACTCTTAGGGGTAGTATTTAGGTCTTTTTCCTCCTATTTTTCTTAGGTTTTTCCACCTCATTTCTCCTCTTATGGCTTCTTTATGTGTTGATGAGAAGTAATGCTTATTTGCGCTTGTTTTGATAATCTTTATGCATTATTTTATCATCCCCATGCTCTCGTGATCTTTGCTATCTTTTGCAGGTTCCATGGCGGTCCTAAGAACGGTGGGAGCCCCCTTGGCCAAGTATGGAGACATGGACAAAGGCAAGAGGAGCAAAAAGGGAAGGAAAGGAAGCAAGAAAAGGAAGTGCAAGAGGAGGTGTGGCCGAACCTCTGAAAGGTTCGGTCGAACTTAGGTGTGGTCAAACTTCTGAAAAGTTTGACCGAACCTCCAAGGTGCAAAGAAGGCAGTGTCAAACCAGTTTTCAGCAATTTCGCAGGAGAGGTCGAACCTCAAAAGTTCGACCAAACAAGGATCAGGGAGGTTTGACCGAACCTACCCAGAGTTTGACCGAACCTACCCTGAGTCCGACCGAACCTACCCAGAGTTCGGTCGGACCTTTTCCCAATCTTAGCCAATTTTGTACGGACTATTTAAGTTCCTTTTTAGATCGTATTTTCAGCAGAGAAGAAAAACAGTAGAATAGTTTTCAGCAAAAACTCTCTTAGTTAGCACCTTAGTTTATTAAATTAGTGGATTTAGTTTTAGAAACTCTCAAAATCTAATCATTTGTAGAAGCAAACTTCAAGGATTATTTCTCATATTTTCAGCAATTATTCAACATTTTTGAAGCTTCATTTTAGTAACTTTTCTCCTTCCACTTTACTTGGTTTCTTATTTATTTTGTTGTACCTTGTTATTTGAATCCCTTTTAGTTCTTTGATGATTGTTGTTGAATGTTAGTTCTATTTGTAGAAAGTTACTATTCCAAGTTTGTTGAGCAAGATAGAACCCTAAACTTTGATTTTGTGTTTTTCAATATGATGTGTGAGTAGTTCCTTAGCTAGGGGTTGGGTGAAACCTAACCTAATGGTGATTATGTGAGTTTGGGAGTGATTTTGATGATGGATTGTGATTAAAATGGATTATATGGGATTGCTTGTTAGTTCTTCATGATAGGAGTAATTAACCTAGATTATTGAACTTGATGGCATAAAATGTTTGGTTCAACATGGAAGTGTGGGTTGAATGTTTCATTACCTATTGCAATATGATTATGTATTATTTGTTGCTAAGTTAATGAGGGATCTAAGCTTAGTGATTTGAGTTGTTTTCATATCGTTTGAAGTTGGTCTTGCATGTGGTCTTTGCTATCCCATTATCCTTGCTCCTCCCTATTCGCCTAATTGCTATTAGTTGAGTGAATCCCATTCCCCTAGTGATTTAATCCCTTGAATTCAACCTTCAGTTGTAGTTTGTTAGTTAATCACCACTCATACCTTGATTTCGATTTAGCTTGAGCGTTAAGACTATTTAGCAATTGATTCCCGTTCTCCGTGGACCGAACCCTTGCTTGCCATTATACTTGTTTGAGTGAGGTGTTTGTTATAAATATGTTTGACCTAGCCTAGATTGTGCGACCGATTTAGCGCTTGTCAGTCAACATCTTTATTCTCTTTACTATATTAGGACATGGTTCATCCTCATTCCAGTTGTTGCACCTTTGTCTTCTTGTTGATAGCCTCACCATGCACATTCTTCTTATACCTACGTATTCATGTTAGGATAGGTTAGCATCTAAATAAATTGATGTCAAATATGTTTACAAAAGTTAGGAAAAGAAAAATTATACCTTCCAAAAGTGTTAAGACAGGCCTGCATCTGTCTACACCCAAAGTTGAATTGAAGCTCTCTAAAAAGTTGGTCTTGTTCTCATCACTGCAAATGTTTGGATCAAATTTGTGCCTTGTCCATCTTGACTGCTTCCCCAAATCAGCCAACCAATTCACAAGCCATTGGATTCATAGCCTGAATCCTGTCCATAGCTTTTTTGAAGGTGAAAGGAGATGTTGCACTACATGCCAACCAAAACAGGGAATGCATCAAAGGCCCAGGAAATGATGCTTTTCAAGTCTTGGCTAAGTGTTTACAACAGTATCTCCTGTCCACTTCAGGCCATAGCTCATTTAGTGCCACATCTATTCCCTGCCCACAAATGTTAGGAAAACTGAGTTAAGTTGTTATTTGCAATTACATAATTAAAAGTGTGAATGACAGAGATAACTTACTTTTTGTCTGTCTGAAATTATAGACCACCCATTACCCCTCCCAGAACCTGACAAAATATGCTTCAGGTGCCAGAAAAAATACTTCCAACTGTCACCATCTTCCTTGGGAACAATAGCCCATGAAAAAGGAAACAACTCATTGTTCCCATCTATAGCCACAACAGACAGAAGGACCCCACCAAAATGTCCTTTCAAGTGAGCTCCATCAACCCCCACTAAACTCCTACATCCTGCAACAACACCATCAATGGCAGCCTTGAATGAAATGAATATACTTGAGAATGTGAGGGATGGATCAGGTGGATTAAGTTGCTTCCATGCACAGTTAGCTGCAAGTCCTAGGTTGGTTTCCTTAACCATCTCACAGTACTTTGGCAAATATCCATAAGAAGTATCATGCCCACCATTTATCTCCTTCAATGCTACCCCTCTCATCTTGTAAAGGGTATTGGTTGCCATATGCACTCCATACCTACTGAATAACAGATCATTCAGTGTCTTTCCAGAGATGTCATTATTTTCCCTTATATCTTCAAGTAGTTTTTCTGCAGCCCATTTAACAGTCACAAGGGGATTCCTTTCATCTAAGCCTCCACAAGTGTGCTCAGGGTTCTTTATATTCTTTATAGCCCATGTCACTCCATCAGGTAGCCTACTTGAATGAATTCTCCAACCACAGTTTAAAGCAAGACAGGAAGTAGTGAACCTCCTTGGACTGCTCCTGTCAACCACTACTACAAAACCACATTGAATGCAATAATCTCTGAAAACAGACATGAAATGCTCTTTATCACTAAAGATCATCCAGGGCTTTAACACTATACTGCCAAACTCAAGATTAGACACAAATTCACCATTTTTGTACATCCTACTAAAATAATTTTCATCTGCATAACGACCTCTCTGCCAGTAGTCTGATGTGTATGGGTCATATGTGTCATGAACACACCCAATTTCTTCATCCTCTGCCATATCATCTTCTAACTCAGCTTCCTAATTCATTTCATCTTCCAGCTTAGCACCCTCACCAATTACATCTTCCAGCTCAGCTCCCTCATCCATTTCATCTTCCAGTCCAGCACCTTCACTCAATTCATAATCCAGCACAGCTTCAGTATTTCTAGCTCTACTAGTCTCACCAGTCTCATATGTTCCCACAACCTGAGCATCCCTAGCCTGCAATCTCCTAACTGCTTCATTAAACTCACTTTCATCCACCACCATAGCATCAACCATGGTTTTATTGGTCTGGACAATCTTCTTCCTAACAACTATAGTTTTTGGTATCTTGTGAAGGACGAGACCAGAGTCACATTTCAACTTTGAATGTTTGTCTAAGGAAGAGTTTGTTTGTTTATAAAGCACAGGTGCATCTGAGAAGGTTTTTTGTGAAGGTATGGTTTCTTTATCACTACGTAGGTGGAGCTTTCTCTTGACAGGTAGTTTCTTAGGTTTCACAGTTTTAGGTGCACTCTTTTTCTTCCTCTTTTGTTCACTCTCCTGCTCACCCTCATCCATGTCATCAACTGCTGCCTGTTGCTCTAATTGCATCTCTACCCTAATATCATTCCAGTACTCCTCGTCATCAAGATCATTTTCATTCCCACCTTGTTCATCATCAACTGGTGCATTTTTTTTAGGTGGGCTAGGACCAAAATGTACACTAGGATTTTTTTAGCGATTCAGCAAGCCTTCTAGCAGCAATTACACAGTCAATAGGCTTGTCAACACAACCAATCCAGATAGTAATCTCTTCCCTATCCTTTAATCTATCCAGCATTCACATTAAATCACTGTCAGAAGTAATCTTAACATCTTTCATGTTATAGCAGTAGTGAAAGCTAGGGAATTCAGGGAAGTCATAGTTCTTTTTCCTAAACCCTTCCTCACATTCAATGATCAAATCTATCCACATGACCTTGTCCATATCTTCTACAAATACTTCAATTACATTACCCATGTAGGCAAACTTTAGCATACACTGATCCATTCTACAACACAACAACCACACACATATATTTTAACATCCAACACGTACTAGCAACCATAAAGATTTCATCTTTGTTCAACACGTACTCAGACAAACAAAAACAGAGCATTCAACTTTCGCAATTATAGCAACAACATGAACAAAATTAAGGTTAAAGCACATACCTTGCTTAAGGTCTGTATATCACTTCAGCAACTGCAAGAACTCGACGATATTGCGAATTCCGTCAGAATTCTAACAACAAACCCTAAATTTCGAACAACAAAATTCACCAAAAAACGAACAACTCCAACCAATTATTTCCTAACAATTGCTCAGCAATTCGGCAACAAATCGTCACGCAAATGTGTTTGACCCTTACAATTCTTTAATCAATCTGTTCCAGATTATGATTTCATGGAGGTTGAACAAAGATGAAAGGGTTTGGAATTTTCGGTTGATGACTGTCGAGCATACAGAAAATAAAGAGTGCCCATTAATGAAAAGAGGTGGGAATGAATTAACTCAGGGGGTAGGTTTGTCATTTTATGTAATATGGTAAAAAAGTGAACCATTTTGTTGTAGGTTAGCCCATTTAATGATAATTAGGCCACTGCAATCAATTATGTTAAACCACAGTGTCACTAAAGAGAGTCCAAAAAAAGTTCGTCTCCCATGTAGAATTTTTAAAACCACAAGGCCACCAAATAGAATATCCTTTTTTTTATATAATGTAATGGACAATTTGTGAACTCTAAACAAAGTCTTTTTATTGCGTCCGCTTTGTTCGTTGATTATTATTGTTACTACTTTTTTTGAAAGATTTATAGTTACTACTTGTATTTGTAGTTTAATTAAAAAATCATTTCTCACTGTGCAACAATGGCAAACTCTTGGAAATAGGTGTATAGTTTGAACACTAATCATGCCACTAGTTTTTCAGATTTCTACTAAACAAAAAACGAAGCATAATCTCACTATACTATTTTCTTTATATTTTTCTTATATATTTCCTCTATTATTTAATTAGAAACAAAATAAAAATAAAAATTGTAACACAGATCCTAAGCTACCCAATTTAGTTTTGGATTGATTTTATCGATCTAATACTAGTAGTACAACCAATCCGCAAATTCTTTATATTGTAGTTTTGGACTGATTTTAGCTACACAAGTGTGTAGCTAAGCTAGCTGCACCACTATACCCATATATGAACATATAGTAATTTAAAAATGAACATACATTCTTTATATCTTAACTCTCTCTCTTCTTCTTTCTTACCTCTATTAATTTTCTCTCTCCTCTGTTTTCTTCTCAATCTGAAATTTTCTCTCTTCCCTTTCCCCCCCTTTTTATAAGTTAATTTTCTTTCTTACCTCACTTTCCTTCAATCTTTATACTTCTTTATCCTTCTAATTCGAATATTCTCCAATTCGTCACCATTGTAGCATTATCCATCATCATCATCTTCGTCACGATCGTGAAACTTGAGGTAATTTTGAGTTTTTTTTTTTTTTTCTAATTATAAATATGTGAATGTTGTAAAATTATTGATTTTTATCAATTTTGCATTTGTGATTCCTAATCTATTATGTTATAGATCGATAATTATTGTTTCTATGATGAACTAAGATTAGATTTAAGGTAGATATTCAAATTTTTAGAGTTAAAATAATTACAATTGAATTTGTGTTCTATAAATAAAAAAAATATATGAACATACAGTACTTAAAAATTGAACATTTTGTACAAAATGAACATTTAATACACTAAAAATGAACATAATTTAACGATATATTTTATCTTTATTTTTTGTTGATTATTATATACAATAAATTTGAACCTATATGAATATATGAAAATCATGTTCATTTTTAATATACTAAACGTTCATAATTTTTTTAAACGTGTTCATTTGTTTATGTGTTTATTTTTTGTACTAAATGTTGATTTTATATAATGTATTCATATATTTTTATGAAATGTTCATTTATTAGGTATGGTTCAACTATTCTATGATTGTATGATAAATGTTCATTTTAACTATACTAATAACGTTCATATTTTTTTTTGACATGTTCATTTTTTTTATCACTAAATATTCAATTTTTGTACTTCTTCATTTTTGTATTGCTAAATGATCATTTTATTTTTTACGTCTTCAATTTTTTTTATTTTACTATATGTTCATTTTTAAGGTCGTGGTCCATCAATTTTATGATTATATGATAATCATGTTCACTTTTAATATACTGAATAATAATTTTATTTAGCATGTTCACATTTTAATACTAAATGTTAATTTTGTTTTTACGTGTTCATTTTTTTTATTACTGAATGTTCATTTTTTTTACGTGTTCATATTATTTTTACTAAATCTTCATATTACAGGGCGTGCTAGCTGCACCAGGGTTCACGTAAGACTTATTGCAACCAGTCAATCGTTTAATCTTCGATTCTTGAATTTTAAATTTCCGATTTTCAGATAATCCTAAAGATGTATTACTCGGTATTTCACTTACTCCGTACTAGATGGAAGCCCGTGCGATGCACGGTTTTTTCATCTAAGATTTTTAATTATTTTATTTATTGTATTTAATAATTTCAGACAAAATTACAAAAGTTTAATATTTATTTTTTTTACTATAATTTATAATGAATTTATTAAATATAAATAAATTGTAAATATGATATTTTTTCATCTAATTCGTTTTTACTGAATTCATAATATTTAAATATAAATATTATTAAATTGTAAATATGAATTCATTAAATATAAATAAATTGTAAATATGAGAAAGGAAATATTGATACTCATAATATTTTTTATTTAAATAGAATATATTTAAATAATATGTAAAATAATTAGATGAAAGCCTGTGCGATGCACGGATTTTCATACATATATCTTAAGAAAAGATATTTCTTATATACTCTATGTTTTTTTTATAATATATATATATATAATTATTTGAATTATTTTACAATTTAATAATTTAATAATTTATCTTATAATAGTACGTATATAAATCCTAGATGATTATTTTAAAAGATAATTTTTAGTTTTTTAAATAAATTTAATCCTAATAAATCAATATTCGTTGTTTTTACTTACGTGGAAAAATTCTTAAATCTCATACGCCAATTTTGTTTAGGTGGCAAACAAATTTTTTAATTCCAAAATAAAATAGAAATCTAATTTTTAATTGGTCGAAAATATACCTTTGCTTATGTGGCGCTCCGAATGCTATGCCTACTTTATTTATATAATATTAAATTAGATTAGATTAGATTAGAGGAAATTTTTCATGAGATTTTTATTTAGGAACCTACGGAAGTACGGAGTATACTTAAATACACCGTAGACTCGAACTCGGAAAAGTATACAACGTAGAACTTAGAACCTCCGACTTCGTTGTAGACAGCAACCAAAGTAGGAGAGAGAAATAGAAAGCGAGTGTTTCTGCAAATTCGAAGAGAGTAAATTCAGAAAGATGAAGGATGAAGGAGAAAAACGGCAACAGATGATGCAAAATTTATTCGGAGTTAATTCCGATGATGAAGAAGAAGAGGAAGAAATTGATTCCGAGCACGAATCTAATCAACACCGCCCCAATTATGTTTCAGTAGGTTTTATTTTGTTTTTTCAATTCAATTTGATGGTGTGTTTGTTGTTTTTATTGTTTCTGGATTGATTTTAGGTTTAGGGTTTGATTTATGTTTGTTGATTGTGTGTTTGATTTGGCTGGGGCAAAGTTTGAGAGTTAATTGAGGTGAAATAAACACAAACAAGAACACGAACACGAACACGACCCATTTAACCAGTTGGAAATTTGGAATAGTAATGTGTTGATTTTAGGTTCTTTTTGGGTGAAATAATGTGGGAATCTAATTTTCCTTTAAATTAGGGCAATGCTAGTAAACTGATTATGTTTTTTTTGAAAAGGGAAATTATATGGCGAAGATACATATAGTGATGTTAATGTACACAAACACGGACACA